TTTCGCGCCAATGGGCCTGTACCACTCCATTGCTTGTCTCTTATACACATCTAGATGTGTATAAGAGACAGCCCCCCCCCCGGCTCGTCGGACTGCCTCTCTCATCCTCCCCTCCGTCGTTGGACTGGTCTCCCTCCTTTCCATTTGTTTCACTGATTTCATTTCAATTTAATTTAAAAAACGCGCCCCAGCGGGAGATTACTTTATTTTCATTTCAATTTTCAATTTAATTAAAAAAAAAACGCCCCAGATGGGATTGCAGACAATCATCAGGTTGCCACGTGGCTGAAATTGTGATGCCCTGGTGCACAATAACGCAAATGAAAAACAGAAAGGATCGGACACAAGAAGCACAGATCGGGGAATTACTAAATTAAAAAATAAAAAAATTGGCGGAAGAAAGAGAAAGAGAGAGAGAGAGAGTAGAGTAGATTGTAGATTGATGACCTCCATCATATCGACTATAACTCGGTCAAAGAGAACAGCCAGACACGTCATCATCATGCCACATCATCAACCTTCCAATCCAATCAAACTGCGTGACACGTCAGCATCCTCGTGCATCCGTGTCCCTCTCTCTCTCTCTCTCTCTCTCTCTCTCTCTCTCTCTCTCTCTCTCTCTCTCTCTCTCTCAATTTGGCAGTGAAGAAGCCCTAACGATCCTCAATCACAGCTGTTCGATGTCCTCGCTCATCCGTGGCTTCCCACTAACCAATCAACCAATCGACCAAATCAATCAACTGGCCAATCCTTCAACCCAGCAACCAATCAAGAAATCCAATCATCGGATCACTGACGTCAACACGAGACCATCTCCTCCCCCGCTCCCACGCCATCGGCGACAAAACCACGATTGATTAGTTGATTGATTGGTTGATTGATTGGTTGATTGATTGGTTGACTGATTGGTTGACTGATTGGTTGACTGATTGGTTGATTGGTTGGTTGATTGATCAACGAAGGCGAAGAAGAAGAGCGAGGCGAAGAAGAGGAGGAGAAGGAGGTGGCGGTAATGGCAGGCTGGGGCCGAGATCCGGACGACGACGACGAGGCGGAATAGGATGACGTCATCGACAATAGAGGACCAAGCAATTCCTCCTTCACCTTGAAGTAGTAATCAATCCGCATCTTCCCGTAGCCAACGTAGTCGAAGTCTGCCGCAGACGGATGAGCCGAGCAAATAATTGCCCACAATCCCCAATGAATATGACTAAGTAAAGAGAATCTGTGTGCCTCTTCTGCAAGGATCTCCACCTCCTTCTCCTCCTCCTCTCTCCCCACCACTCTCGTTCCCCTGCTCATCCCAATTCCCCCCTCCCCGCCCCCGTCTCCCCCCCCGTCCTCCTCCTCCTCCACCTCCTTCCCCCTCTTCTCCACCTCCTCCCCCCTTTTCTCCACCTCCTCCCCCCTCTTCTCCACCTCCTCCTCTCTCCCTTCCATGCCAAGGTAGTTTCGAACGAACCTCTCCCTCTCCTCTCTCCCTGGGTACTTGTTGTCGAAGTCGACTATGTGTGGCTCATCCGAATGGTAATCAGCCGCCATTTCGCAGAAGTGATTCCCGATGTCAAAAGCCACGTAATTAACGCAGGCGTACTCGTAATCAATCAGAGTGATGGAGCCGTCCACGTCATTAATCATGACATTGCCATATTGGAGGTCGTTGTGACAGAACCCCACGGCGGGGGGGGTTCGGCAATGCAGCGGAAGAGGAGGAGGAGGAGGAGGGGTGGCTTCCTCGCCAATCACGAGGAGCTTCTTGAGGAGGGGAATTTCTTCTTGAAGCTCGTTAAGGCGGAGATCGATCGCTTGGGAGGAGGAGGAGGAGGAGGAGGAGGAGGAGGATATCTCCATCGCGATAGCCATCCACCGGCGGAGTCTCTCCCACAGCAGGGGACGAGGAGGAGGAGGAGGAGGAGGAGGAGGAGACGTGTGTGCGTCATCTGCACCACCCCGATCGCGATCGTGATTGCGATCGGGGGCGAGGTCATCTTCCGCCGCCGGTGCGGCCGTGGGTGTTCCCGCGGGGAGATCGTGGAACTCGCGCAGCTTCCGCGCAATGCGCGCGGAAGTCTGCGGATCGCGCAGATCGGCGGCGGAAAGAGTGCGCGCGTTGAGGAATTCCTCCACCCTCCCGCCGGGAAACCGCGCGAGCAGCCTCGGCCCTTGCCCTCGTCGGGACATCATCTCGAAGGCTGCCAGCTCATCCTCCCTCCTGAACAGAGATCCCGATCCCTCTCCATACACCCGGACCAGAACCTTCACCGACTCTCCATCCTTGCCTAGCCAGCGACACTCATAAACCTTGTTCGTCATCGCGCCTTTGACACGTGTCAGCACGAGAGACCCCTCCCCGTCCTCGCGGGGAGAAGGAGAAGAAGGAGAAGAAGGAGAGGGAACAGAGGGCAGTGAGGGAGGAGGAGGAGGAGGAGGAGGATCCGCGGAGCCGCCTTGTCTCATCATCTCCAGCAAAATCGGGAGCGCTTCTCGTGTCACCACGTCATCGCTGAATGAGAGGATCCGAGCTAACTTCAGAGCGGCGGACGGTGGTTCCTTACCTACGAACGCGACGCTTGAATGCTCGGCCATCTCGTCTTCCTTCGCCTCTTCCTCAGGTGCCAGTGCGCGTAGGCCGTACCCCCTCACGTGCAGGAGGATTTCAGGCGTCGCTGGGTGCGTGTGTGTGTTTGTCTGGGTGTGTGTGTGTGTACTGTGTACGCGCTCGCGCGTGAGAGAGGACGACAGAGAAAGACAGATATAGAAGGGGCGACAGGGGAGAGAGAGACACAGGTCTGTTGTCGCGGTAAGAAAATCGGTGTGCGTGTGTGTGTGTGTGTGTGTGTGTGTGTGTGTGTGTGTGTGTGTGTGTGTGAGAGAGAGAGAGAGACGTGTGTTGTCGCCGTAAGAAGATCGGGGTGTGTGTATATGTGTGTGTGTTTGTGTGTGTGTGTATGAGTGTGTCTGAGTGTGTGTTAACGTGTGTGTGTGTGTGTGCGAGAGACAGACAGACAGAGGGGAAGAGAGAGACAGACAGAGGAAGAGAGAGAGAGASACAGAGAGAGAGAGAGAGAGAGAGAAAGAGAGAGAGAGAGAGAGAGAGAGAGAGAGAGAGAGAGAGAGAGAGGACTGCTCGAGGGGAAGAAACGAGGTCAAGTGGAGGAGCAAAAGGACCTGAGGGAGAGAAGACGAGGAAGCGAATCAATCGATTTGATTGAGTACGTGCGCCACTTGGAGGACGTCACACACTACGTACACAACAATCCAATCCAATACGATGCCATCAACATTGCACATCCAACATATATCCGATCATCACTGTTCATTAGATTTAGTTCACTTCGTACTAAACCTGTTTGCATTTTCCTTATGACAGTTCATCTCTCGCATTTTGAACAAAAGAGAAACGAAAAGCGAGGGCGGTCCTTCGGGACATCCGTTAAAATTGGAACGATACAGAGAAAGGAGATCAGCATGGCCC